GGCATGTTTTTAGGGTTCCCATTTTTGTAGGGGTCACAAGGTCCAAAGCCGGCTGGGTTTCTTCCTGCTCCTTTTCCCTTTTTCTGACCCAGGCAGTTCCTTTCCTTGCAGTTGAAGGTGTTGAAGGCATTCCCCATTTGTCTGTTTTTGTTTGATGATTATTGGTTTGCTTCGGTTTGGAGGGAAATGGTGATGACTGGTGAATATGACAACTTGGGATGCAACTTTGGCTTGTGAATTATGCACACTTGGCTGAAAGTAGATGGCGCTCTTCCACCATGGTTTAGTCGCCCCCTTTGCTTACCCAAGTCTACTTTCACCGCCCCGCACCACCATTGGCGACTTTCTACTTGGTTTTCAATAAGGATAGGGCCTATGTAAATGTGTTTATCGCCATCGAGCCAATGAAAGGCTGAATGGTCCATATATGAACCCATGGTCCCGAATCCATTTCGGGCCCTTGAAGGGGGAACAGTCCCATGGTTAAGCCAACATTCATGGCCAACTAATACATAAACTAGGGGTTCATACCAGGGGTTCACATACTGTGGATGGACGAAATCCTGCACCACCTAAGAAACCCTGGAATGATGATTCACCTTTAAATACCAACAAACAATGGTTTCAACCATGGTTCAAAGTGGTGCAGGATTTTGTCCATCCACAGTATGGACGCATACATTCAGCCTTTGAGCCAAAGTCAATGGGTTGTGGGGATTCAATCGGAGCTGCCTGCACGCCTCGTTTTGCTCCACTCACTCCGCGCCCTCAACCCGCGGGCAGTTTTGGCATGGTGTCAAACCACTTGCACCACGTCCGTGTGTTCAAAAAGCAGGTTTCTTTTTTTTGCTTGAGGTTGAAACTCATCCAAACAGGGGGTCCTTAATTTGGACACAGAGATACTCTGAGTTTCGATGTCCAGTCATTGCAGCTATCCCACCAGAGGTGATCACGTCGGATTATTTCTTGGAGGCAGGTTTTCTTGAAGCTTTCCTTGGCGACCCACTTTCGCGACGGTGTTTTCCCGCTGGGACTTCATCAGGGCGTCAGAACCGAATCAGAATTCCGCCGACAGATCTCAACCGAAGAGTCGAGCGCCAGCAAGCAGCATCGTGTTTTTGTTGTTGCAACTTCCGCGCGCCCGGTCTGCAGCTCGGAGCTCAGAGGGTTTTGCTTTCCTTCTCCGAACATCCAACAGATGATCAAAACGAGGGGTAGCGAGCTGGTTTTGTTTCCGTTACTTTGCTGCACAGGCCTTCTTTTTTGCGTGTATTTGAGTGTGGGTCAAAATTAGACCTCCGGGGGACCACAGGTTTTAGTCCTTGGTTCCATTTACCAGGGTTCCATTTTGGGTACCCATTTTTGCCCCACAGCCATTTGGGCATCATTTCGATTCGTCTTTGTGATTCCACTCAAGTATGTCTTTAGCCAAATGGTGAACCTCCGTTGGATGGTTTCCAAGCGAAACCAAAACTAGCGACCCGTACGGTCCCAAAGGGACTGTTGGATGAAACGGGTCCTTTTCCCGAGGGATACGCATGGGGTTTTGCTTGATCCCTTATGGATTGATTTCCTGGTTCGCTGCCAGAGCCTTGTAGTTCCCTATGCTATGTTGTGTTGTTTGGTTTTGAGTGCCCATCTTTAATCGCGGGCTGCTCATTTTTACACATACCTCAGTGAGAACCAAGGATTGTGGAACCTCAGAACAGGGAAACTAACTCGCCCGGCTCTTGCCGTGTGGGAAGATAATTTCACAAGCCCCACGTGCTGGTTTCCCGTTCTTTTTGGGTGGAACCCCCTTCAAACTCTGGCGAGGGTGTCCTTGAAAAGGCCAACTTGAATTGAGCTTCTCGGTGTAGTGTTGAAGCTTCCCTCTACTCCAAACGCAAAGCCTGGCTTTGAGCCTGTTGCTTACCGAAAACAGGGTTTCCAACCGAAAACGTGGTTTTACTTTTAAAAACCCATACAAAAACCATACAAAACCCGTACAAAACCCATACAAAACCCGTACGTTTGTATGCTTTTCATAAAGCCGGGTTTTCCCGCGAAGAACACGGTTATTTTCGAGAACCTTTAAAACAAAAGGTTCTTGGAGTAGAGGATTCAAGCATGTTCGAACTTGCTCCCCCTGAGTTCCTGAACTTTATACTTTTTGGGAGAACCATTTTGAGGCAAACCACAAGTTTATAATTTCAATTGGCCGGACGAACCACTGAGGAAGCGAGGAAGTATAGGGGCATGTATTGGCAAGGTGTCCTTTAAAGTTGAGCTTCTCGATCAAAAGTGTGGAAATATAAATGGGCCCTATTTCACATTATTTTAAGCTTGTCAAAAGAAACCCAAAAGGGGATTTGTTCTGAACCCCCATAGTCAGCTTCCTCTCAGTTGGTGATTTGTATTGGTTTGAAAAGGGCTCCCCCGCCAATTGACTCCAGAAAATCTGTGTTTCAAAGACCCAAAGCAGGAAACCACACGATTTCCGGATAAGCTGATATTCAACTAGTGGTAGCTACTGAGTTGTCTGTCTCTGCAAGGGAACCAACAGTCACTGTTGCAATGGCTCCCCTTCCCTACCTGGAGCCTCAAAATTCCCCTAAAAATTGGTTATTTCCCCAAACATGTGGGGTGAACTCCCTAGTTTGAGGGTCCAGGTAGGAGCCAGGGCAAATGGATATGTTGGTTCTCAAAAAACAGCTGAACCAGTTTCTCGCCTGGTTGAAACATGCTGGTACCGCCCCCCCGTCTCCACCAAAAAAAACAAAAACAACAAAAATAGACCGACCACAAGTGGCACAGCCTCGGTCAGGTGGTTGCCCAACAGCCGCGGACTCCCTTGGGCCAGTTGCTCCGCACCCCAGAGCCATCAGCAGAACCTACTGGGGCCTATCGGCTGTATGGCGTTCAGCGGGGAGAAACACTTTTTTTGTGGGACCGATCCATTTCACACAGTTGGCACATGCCCAGTAGCCTCCGCCCCCCATTAAAAAAAAGGCTGGACCCTCGTTTTTGCCCATAACAAAGGGAACTCATCTCATAGTTTTGGGGCCATGAGGCGTTTTAAGAAGTGAAGGTGGCTTCCATGTTGCTTAAATAGTATTTCTTGTTTCCCTGGTTGGTTTTAAAGGGAATCTATCACTGCTGGAACTAAAATGGAGGGGTTGAGATTGGAAGGCTCCAGGCACCCGCTTCCAGGGACCCCCCAGCCGGCGAGCCGGGGCTGAGGCATGCGCCCGGCCCAGCCTGGGCCCTTCACGGCGCAAACCCAGCCCGGGATCCCAAGAGGTTTCTTGGAGCCCAAGCTGGCGACAAATTGCACATTTTGCAAATGGGTATGAGTGATTCTGTCAGGGGAGACAAGACTGGGTGAATTCAAGTGGTTTGCATTTTGAAAATTCGAGATCGCTTTTGGGGGTCGTCTCCCCCTACTGCCAGGTGGGTATGGGTCAAAATTAAGCCCGGATATGGACCGCAGGTTTTAGTCCATGTTTCCACTTACCATTTCTTGGAGCCGAAGCTGGCAACAAATTGCAAATGGCCACTCAGATCCAATGCTTGGAATCGACCCAGGGTTTGATAGTCCGATTTGTTCAACAAATGTGTCTCCCATTTTAGTCCATGTTTCCATTTACCAGGGTTTCATTTTGGGTTCCTACTTTTGACCCACACCCAAATAACAAATCGGTTTTGCGCAACCCTGCGGGTTTCGGGATTCGGATCGCGAGGATGAGGCATCGAACCTGGCCGGCGTAGCAAGTTGTAGCCGTTTCCTGTTCTGTTGTAACCCACATAAAATCGAGTCCCGCCGTGAACGTGGGGATAACAACTTGTTCTTAGTGGGGTTATAACCCCAAATGGCAATCCAACCGCTGACTAACTTGGCGAATAAAGAAACTCCAAGTACCGCCAGCTGGAGACAGGCCTTCTCTGAGTGAACCGAACAGCGCCAAGCATCCGACTCTTCGCTGTGCTGCTTTTCGACATTGTCTTTGTTTGCAGGAACCGAGTTGAATGTCTCTTTCCGCAGTCCCCCCCCCCCCAGAAAAAGAACAAAATGTTCGATTGGAGCGGCTGAGAACCCTTTTTCCAGAAGGGTCTGAGGACTTGTCCTCGGGTGGAGGGGGCCTTTGGCTTCCAAACTTTCAGCATCGAACTTTCGACGTACGGATACTCAGCCAGGTTTTGCCCAGGCGTTGCGACACTTTGTCTCACTCCCGGAGTTCCTCAACTCTGAACATTGAGGGAAAACTATTTCATGGTTGTGTGTGTTTGTTTTTTGCATGTTTGCTTGTTGTGGTTTAGTGGTTGAAATCCCCACTTAACTGCTACAATTCAATTTTTGGCTCCCCTTCCAACGTCAACCAAGATTTTAGCGGTAAGTCAAAAGTTCGGACCCTTACTGGCCAACGCACGGAAGTGAGTTGTTGGTTGTGTTTCACCCCCAAAAGTCGGTCTCCTTTTCGAGGTCCGAACACCTTGGAGATCCTCACCTGTATGCTTGCCATGACCATTTTGCCGGGCTGCTAAAAACATTGCTTTTTGCTGACCCCATCGGGTTGTGGAAGAAAAGGCGAACCTACCATTTATTGATTGTCAACCCTCCTTCGGGCATTTTCGTAACTGAAGTTGCCATGTACCCTTTCTCACTGTTCAAAGCGAATCGACATCTTGTCCTTTTAGTTTGCCCTACTTGGCCCATTTTCAGCCATGGCCCCCTTTTAGGTGATCACCTTCTATTTTTGGGTTCACTGAGCTTTTGGACCACGAAAAAGCTTGGAGGGTCCTTGAGAACCGCCAGGTGGGTCGCAAGAGCGTATGGCTCGAGGCAGCGAGAGAGCCGCTCCAATCAAGCGAGCGATCGCCAGTCAAGCCATGCATGCTGCCAGCTCCTTGTCCATGCGCATCAAGCAACAAAAAGAGATCAGCTTGCCAGTTTGCTAGCTGTCCACAGAATCTCAGACGCCTGAAACGACAAAAATGCCATGATCAACATAGCCGGAGGAGGTCAATCAGCTGAAACGCCTTCGAAACGCATTCCGCTCGAGTCGCCAGCTTGAGCCTTGAGCTCTGAGTTGGGAGCCCCAGAGTTTCCTTCGCGACCTCGGCCTCCGGAGCCGAGCGGTGAAACCAGGGTGCAGGACCAACGGCCCTGTCATGCTTGTTGTTGGGAAAAGGTTTTTTTCCCCATTTTTGCTTCTTGTGGTTTAGTGGTGGAAATCCAAACCCACTGAACTGCTAACATTTAAATTGTTGCTCCCCTTCCAACGTCAACCAAGCTGTGGATGGTGACGCAAAATCCGGCACCGCGCCACAGTGAAACCTGGAGGGAAGGAAGGCAGAGCGTTTGTGAGCATTTGTAGGGGAATGATTGAATGGAAGCATTCCAGGGCTTCTTAGGTGATCCAGGATTTCGTCCATCCACAGCAGTTCAAATTGGTAGGATTTTGTGACGTTTGAGGCAAGGTCGTTTGTTTACCGCCCATGTGTCCAGGTTGCGACGATATGTGCCAGAATTGGTTTCTGCGTCCCAGAACGCACAGATAAAGCTCCAACAACCTCGCAAACACAGCTCCAGTTTGGGTTCATGGTCGTCCCCAAGAAAGACATTGGTGCGTTTGTATATAGAGTCATACACGTTTGGGTCCCCCGAAAGGGCGTGCTCCGGTTGCATGAGGACTGTGCTCGTGTCAGTTTTGTGACCAAACTTGTGTTTTGTGTCGTTTTTTTTGTTTTTTTGTAGAGGCCCATTTGCAGAAGGGACACAACAAGAGACATCTCAAGTATAGATGTAGATGTTATTTATTAATATACATGATATGTACATATATACACACTACATATGCCACCTCCATCGCAACAGCAGCTGAGGTCATCGGCGCAAGTCAAAGGCAGTTTCAGGTAGAGGATTGGAGGTATGCAGGCTATATACAACTATATAAGGGGTAGGTACTGCGATACGTGCATATATTGGTGGTATATAAGCATCCATACCTCCGATGCCTGTATCTGGCAATTTCCGTCAGCGAGAGATGAGAGACCTGACGAATCCAGTATCTCGCGACGAACTAACAAGACACAGACAACACATAAACAAGGAACAACATTTAAGAAAGGCACACATTGAACAACAATCGAATAAGAAACAACACACGTGCCACCATCACGAACCATCCACCACCACCCGCACCCACCAACCAACCCGCCTCTGCCAGCAAAGTTCCAAGCGACAGCAGCAGCAGCAGCAGCAGCAGCAGCAGCAGCAGCAGCAGCAGCAGCAGCAGCAGCAACGTCTTCACCAATGTTGCCAAGGCATTCACTACCCTCCCCCAGGCCTTGCCGCCTGGCACGGGAGAGGCAAACATCTATCGGGCCTGAAGACTTCTATCGGGCAAAGCAGTTGAACCGGCGACAGTGCTCCCTTCAGTGTTCGGTCAAAGTCGCCACTTGGTTTGCAACCCACTTGCAGGCTTAACTTCAGCTGGAACTTACCAAGTGCGTACTTCGGCTATCAACAACTTACTAACTTGGCCGAAGAGTTACGTGGTGTTTTTTTTTCCCCCCGTAATTGTTTGTTCGAGCGCTCCATCCAAGATGGCCTGAGGTATGGCGTCGAACTTGGAGGTGTGGAATGGGTTGGGAGTCGGGAGGGATCTCACTTGTGCTTCTGTCCGTTTCTGGGGTTTGCACCAAACTAGTTGGTATTTCGATTAGTGTACCTCCAGTCTCCTTTTGACCCTTAAAACACGGGGTCAGTACCCAAGAGAAAGAGGTCTTCGCCCCATGTTTGAAGGGTCATAGAGACCCCAGGTAGACCAAATCTGAAACATACTGAGAACATACTAAATATGAAGTATAGGTCTTTTCATTGTCAGGGGAAGCCCTTTATCAGCAGCTACCGAAGAAAGGGTGGCGGTTTTTGTTTCTCTCATGACACTTCTACTGGACATCGAGGGCGACTTCAGGTATAAGTTTGGAGGTATCGCGCTTGTATACAATTCTCACGCAGGGAATATGCCGGCTTACAAGCTTATATTGATATCAATCATGTTACTTGGTGGCTCCCAGCCATCCTTTTATTTTTATTTTTTGTGTTTAGTGGGGATTTCCATTTAACCCACTAAAGAGGGGGTCACGGGGTCATGACCCTATCACCCGAAATCATGGGGTCATGACCCTATTTTGAAAGGGTCACAGAGACTCCAGGCAGAAAGATCTCTCCCTGCTTTTTCTCTGGGTGGCTCGGAATATTGGTTGAGGCTCGGTGGTTTTGGGGTTGTTTAGGGAAACCCAAAGGGAAGCCCAGTTGTTTTGGTGGTCCCCCTACTTGCAGACGACCCCAAGTGGTCAAACACATGATGTGTCTGCAGGTTGGCTTTTTTTGTGGTTTCCCGGCCTGTCAAGTGTCAGCTTCCCTCGTATTCGTGTTTTGGTGGTTGAGAGTTTCGTTCAAAGTATCCAGATATGGTAAATTAAGTGGGCTCGCAAGATTTCAACCACCCAAGGGGATTCACCGACTTTCCCATGTCCCGAACAAGAACCACAAAGTAAATTGGTGTCTCCTTCGGCATTTGTTCTTGTTTGTTCAAGGGCAATCCTTCATCCTTCACTTGTGTGTGACTTTACCTTTGGGACCTCCATACTGGTGGTTTTCCAATTGGTCTCCCTTCAAACACACACAACAAAAAAGGTACCCTCAAGAAAGCCACGCCTACTTGGGTTCGAGCGTCGTCTTTGCCGTGACTTTAGATCTTTGGGGAGTTTTGAATCTGAAATAGGCCACAGTTTTGTTGAACAGATCCATTTTGAACAGATCCATTTTGAAGAAACCGGTTCTGCATGAACGTGGGTTTGCTCCTGCAAGGCCATAGATGAACTTACGTCCCGACCATCTACCGTTCAGTTCCTGAGGGAGGAGTACCGCTGCTCGGCCCGTTGCATGTCTATTGTGTGTGTGTATCCTTGATTTCGTATGCACGTGTGCTGTTGGTGCCGTTGCTGTCTTGTCGTGTCTCTTCTGTCTATTCTTCGCCCTTTGTCGTGTGGATGGAGGAACTCCTGCTAAGAATCTCTGTACTGAGGCCATTGGTTTGGGCAATGACCCAGGTGGCCGTGGGTTGATTCTGGGTATGCACCACCTAAACCCTGGAAGGACGACTCACCCTGTAAATCCTGACAAACAATGGTTTCCTCAAATCCTGTAAATGATGGTGGTTGTGGCTTTTGTTGGCTGTTTTCTCTATTCTTCGCGATGGACGAAATGCACCACCTAAGAAACCCTGGAATGCTGATGGTGCCTGGAGACTCCAGGTGGTGGTGGGTCGATTCCGCTCATTCTGGGGCCCTACCCCGCAGGGCCGCAAGGCGCCGAAGGGATCCGCTTTTTCTGAGCGGCTCGGGGCGGTCGCAGTCGCGCCGAGTCTCAGGTGAGTCCTATCCTTTTCGCACAGCCTTCGAAGCGAGGCGCGCCCGGGTGGCCCGGGGGACGTATGTCAGTGGCTTATAGCAGGGGTCACTCATTTCAGAAATGGGGTTGGTTTCCCTTTAACCCAACACTTGAGGAGGGGACTTTGACCAGTATAAAGTTAGGTCACCAACATCGAAATGTGTGGACCCCAAATGAATCAACAAGTGTATGAATATGGGGGTGCTTTTCCCTGGGTGAATGTGGGGCATCAGACCACTTTTGGCAGGGAACACACCCCATAGGAATAAACTGGGGTTGATTAATATTGCGTTGTACCCCACATGGCAATCACCACTTACTAATTTGGCCGAACACCCAAGTACTGTATGAAGCTGTCCTATCTTCATAGGAGTTGTTCCCCTCTGAACGTGATGCTTCCCCACTAAACCCAGTGACACCTACTCATAATTTGGCTACCATCCCAAAGTTTGGGTAGCTAAAGCACACGCACACCACAGCCACACACACACACACCACAACCCACACACACACACACACACGCATGTGAGCCCAGTCAAGTTACAATCAAAACCTGAATGTGGTCTACCCAATGTAAAGCAACGAAAGGGTCCCCAAGTTGTGTCGGGCCATTTCGCCTTTCGCGACCGCCGCAAAAGCGGTTGGAGGTTCGGGCTGCGCCGGAGGGAAATTCCGACCGCCGACTTCATCCGGAGTTTCAGCCAGGCCTCGCCTGTGGCGAATTCGCTCTTTTTTCGTCTGATAATGTGGCTGTGGGTCAAAAAACCAATGGTACGGGTAGGTGCACCACCCATTTTAGTCTATTTTAGTGGGGATTGGGATGTTCATTGGGGGTACGGGATTTTGACCCTGGCCATGTTGACCCAGGATGAATAAACCCGTCCCATTATTGGGGGGGGGTGTTTGTTCCAAAGTGGTCTGAATCCCCACTGAAAGGAATTGGACACCAACCCCGATCAAAATCCACCATGGGTTTATTAGATACGGTGGATGGCCCTGCCATATGGGTGTGGCTCAAAAATAAACAGGAGGGGTTACGCAGGTTTTGGTCCATGTTTCCACTTACCAGGGTTCCATTTTGGAATTCCGTTTTTTTTGAGCCACAGCCATATTGCAACCATGCTCTGGACTGTTGCGAAATCCATTTCGCACCACCTTGAAACGCGGCTGAAACCAACACGTTTGTTGGTATTTACAGGCGAGCTACTTGGTAGCCCACAGCCATCCGGTTCCCCCACCTTAGCTTTTCAGGTTTTTAGTTGATTTAGTGGCAGTTTCCATTTAACCCACGGAAAGATAAAATTTTAGCGGGGATCTGAGGGCAGCTGCAAAAAGGACAGTGTGTGCTACCATACCAACAGTTGGACAGAGAAGATATGACATGGTATTTCCTATGAACAACCTGACTATTCAACACATACCAACTCAAAAAAAGCGGTATTGGGTGTAGGGGGGGCTTTGCTCCAAGTCGGATGGCCGCCCTTAAACAGACCTGGACGCCTTTGGGCTCTTTGATTCACAGGGTTTAATCTTTGCTACCTTTACCTAGGTCCCCCAGTAGTGCCCTTTCTCTCCCCTTTTGGGGGAGGTTCCCCTACCAAAATAGACTACAGAAAAAGGGGTACCCTTATTCGAGCCTCTCTACTGGAGGACCTAGTGAATTTGGTAGCGGATCTTTGGACTTTAACCTTTGGGGAAACTTTGTAGTTTTTCCACGGGACCTGCAAAACAATACAATCATTTTTCAGAGGTCACCAACAACAAAGCTACATGTTCCTTTTCTTGTGGTTAAAAAATCATTTGGTTGTGTCTTTGACTGCACCTTTTGTGGGGGGTGTTTTACAGGGAAAGGTACTGGGGAAACCCACGTGTGTTTTTTTTGGGGGGGGGTCCACCAAGATTGCCCAGAAAGACAGCCAAAAAAAGCATGGGTGGGTGTATCGGATTCTACCCGGCAAATGGTTTTGGCCTCTTGAAAGCCACGTCAAGGTCCCGTCCCAAAAGCGTTCGGCACCATTGCAAAGGATGCTACGATGATAGTATCATGACAGTCCCCTTCCTTACCATGATTATCAGCATGATCTTGGGTGTTGTTGGGAAACATGTTTCTTCCATTTTTGCTTATTGCGGTCTGGTGGTTGAAATCCAACCACTTGACTGCTTTTGGTTTTGCTTCAAGTTTTGCTCCCCTTCATACGTCAAGCAAGTGATCATCATCTTATTGGGCAGCATCGGTACAGAGGATGCTAGTCTGACTTTGTGACCACTCCAAAGCTCAAGGACTCTGAGGGACCGGTCAGACAGTAAGACCAACAGAAGTTTTGGGAACCCATGATTCACCTCATTTCCCTGAATTCCGAGAATGGGACGAAAAAGTCAGAGTGTCACCGTTTTATTCGTGCACAAAGAGAGTTCAATGCCCGATCCATTCAGGAGGTGAGACTCTGAAACTCTGATGCCACTTCTTTTGGGCAAACCCCCGGGTTTTGTCTACCAGGTTGACTCCATCTTCTGCGACATTGGCTCTGGGTTTGTGTCGAAAGAGGCTTTAGACCCCTTAACAAACAAGGTTGATTTGTTTGTTTTGGTTAATGTTGGCGTTTTTTTGGTCTTGCTGGTTTTCAGCAGGGAATGAATGACTTTTATAAATGAAACCTCTGGTTTCCCTTCAGGGAATCCCAAAACGGTTCATTCCCAAACCCTGGGTCATTCCCTACCTGGTTTTTGGGGGTTAGAAGGAGACTCCAGGTAAACAACATACGTATTGAATCTGGGTGATTCCAGGGGGTCTTTTGGGACCACGCTGATCAGCCTCATCTGACATGGAACTTTGTCCCAAGTGGTCGTTCCAAGACTCCAGGCACATGGGGATCATTTACCTGGGATGACCAGTGGTTGGACAACCACGATACAAAAAAATGATATTTCCTGTATGGGACCCAGGCATATTGATCTATTTTGTATTTTTACTGGTTGGTTTCGAAGGGAATCTATCACTGCTGGACATGGCCATGGGTCAAAAGCCCGTACCCCCCAGTGAACATCCCAATCCCCACTAAAATAGACTAACATGGATGGTGCACCTACCCCAAAATGGTACCGTTGGTTTTGACCCACAGCCACATGTTCTTTGTTTCCCGGAGACTCTACTGCAAATGGAGGAGACTCCGGGCACATCGGCCCACATTTTTCGGCGAAACTTGGTGTCGGCAGGCGCCTTTGAAGGATTCCAGGCTCTATGAGTTGAGAGTGCAGCCTGGCGGACGTGCTCGACACGAGTGCCTCCAAATAGGTAGTCCCCAAACTGTGGCTACGGCGTCCTGTTGGTGTCCCCATCCAGCAACCCCCAAAAAGGGCAAGCATCAAACACAAGACAGTGTGTTTCTTGGTGGTTCCCAGGCATCCGGTTCAGTGAGTATTTCTAGGTGTTTGTAGGCTGTTTCGGGATTTCAGGGTGTTTTGGGGATCTAAGAGGGAAGCCACAAAGAAACCACCAGCCTTTTGGAAGGAGCCCTACAAAGAAGGGGAATGGGAAACCTCACAGGACAAACCAAAAGTGTTTTTTTCTTGGTGGTTTGCAGCCATGCGGTTCCTGAGGCCTTTCGTGGCTTTTTAATTTCCACTAATTCACGAAAGGGGGCCAGTTTTTGGCCAGGGATCTGGGAACAGCCCAGTTTTTGAGGGTGGCGGGAACCCTGGATCAAAGTAAACCCCCTACGTTGATTCTGAGAGGTGGCGGTGTCTCCTTTTCGGGGGGATTCGGACCACTTTTGTGGGACCCGACACCCGCCTTGAAGAGTATTCTAGGGCGCCACAAGAAGAACTCACCAGCTTCGATGCGGGTTTTCTAAACGAGACACACTCCGAAATAGTGCTGCGTGCTGAATGGCAAGCAGAACTATTGGTTTCCCTCAAAGGAAACCAAAAGGGCATGGGTACTGTTTAAGCACTCAGGGTGGAAGTGGAAAATCGGAGGCTTTCCCAAAACAGAAGTTAGTCACACCCTCCCCTTTCTTCAGCTTTCATGATTGTTGGAAAGAGGGCATACGGCGTCGGGCGAAATGAGGGAGAGGTCAGTTTTCATGCGCAACGCCCTGCCCTCCATTTGCTTGATATGATACATGTGTGTGTGTGTGTGTTTGTGTCTGTGTCTCTGTGTCTGTGTCTCTGTGTCTCTGTGTCTCTGTGTCTCTGTGTCTCTGTGTCTCTGTGTCTCTGTGTCTCTGTGTCTCTGTGTCTCTGTGTCTCTGTGTCTCTGTGTCTGTGTTCTGTGTCTGTGTTTGTGTGTGTTGTGTCTTTGTGTCTTTGTGTCTTTGTGTCTTTGTGTCTTTGTGTCTTTGTGTCTTTGTGTCTTTGTGTCTTTGTGTCTTTGTGTCTTTGTGTCTTTGTGTCTTTGTGTCTTTGTGTCTTTGTGTCTTTGTGTCTTTGTGTCTTTGTGTCTTTGTGTCTTTGTGTCTTTGTGTCTTTGTGTCTTTGTGTCTTTGTGTCTTTGTGTCTTTGTGTCTTTGTCTTTGTCTTTGTGTCTTTGTGTCTTGTGTCTTTGTGTCTTTGTGTCTTTGTGTCTTTGTGTCTTTGTGTCTTTGTGTCTTTGTGTCTTTGTGTCTTTGTGTGTTTGTGTGTTTGTGTGTTTGTGTGTTTGTGTGTTTGTGTGTTTGTGTGTTTGTTGTTTGTGTGAACGTAAGAGCGGAAAAGAGGGATACAAAGAGCGGAAAAGAAGGATACTAAGAGCGGAAAAAGTAGTAGTAGTAGTAGTAGTAGTAGTAGTAGTAGTAGTAGTAGTAGTAGTAGTAGTAGTAGTAGTAGTAGTAGTAGTAGTAGTAGTTGTTGTTGTTGTTGTTGTTGTTGTTGTTGTTGTTGTTGTTGTTGTTGTTGTGGTTGTCGTTGTCGTTGTCGTTGTCGTTGTTGTTGTCGTTGTCGTTGTCGTTGTCGTTGTCGTTGTCGTTGTCGTTGTCGTTGTCGTTGTCGTTGTCGTTGTCGTTGTCGTTGTCGTTGTCGTTGTTGTTGTTGTTGTTGTTGTTGTTGTTGTTGTTGTTGTTGTTGTTGTTGTTGTTGTTGTTGTTGTTGTTGTTGTTGTTGTTGTTGTTGTTGTTGTTGTTGTTGTTGTTGTTGTTGTTGTTGTTGTTGTTGTTGTTGTTGTTGTTGTTGTTGTTGTTGTTGTTGTTGTTGTTGTTGTTGTTGTTGTTGTTGTGTTTGTGTGTTTGTGTGTGTTTGTGTGTGTTTGTGTGTTTGTGTGTTTGTGTGTTTGTGTGTTTGTGTGTTTGTGTGTGTGTTTGTGTGTTTGTGTGTTTGTGTGTTTGTGTGTTTGTGTGTTTGTGTGTGTGTTTGTGTGTTTGTGTGTTTGTGTGTTTGTGTGTTTGTGTGTTTGTGTGTTTGTGTGTTTGTGTGTTTGTGTGTGTGTTTGTGTGTTTGTGTGTTTGTGTGTTTGTGTGTTTGTGTGTTTGTGTGTTTGTGTGTTTGTGTGTTGTGTGTGTGTTTGTGTGTTTGTGTGTTTGTGTGTTTGTGTGTTTGTGTGTTTGTGTGTGTGTGTTGTGTTTGTGTGTTGTGTGTGTTTGTGTGGTTGTGTGTGTGGTTGTGTGGTTGTGTGTTTGTGTGTGTTTGTGTGTTTGTGTGTTTGTGTGTTTGTGTGTTTGTGTGTTTGTGTGTTTGTGTGTTTGTGTGTTTGTGTGTTTGTGTGTTTGTGTGTTTGTGTGTTTGTGTGTTTGTGTGTTTGTGTGTTTGTGTGTTTGTGTGTTTGTGTTTGTGTGTTTGTGTGTTTGTGTGTTGTGTGTTTGTGTGTTTGTGTGTTTGTGTGTTTGTGTGTTTGTGTGTTTGTGTGTTTGTGTGTTTGTGTGTTTGTGTGTTTGTGTGTTTGTGTGTTTGTGTGTTTGTGTGTTTGTGTGTTTGTGTGTTTGTGTGTTTGTGTGGTTGTGTGGTTGTGTTTGTGTGTTTGTGTGTTTGTGTGTTTGTGTGTTTGTGTGTGTTTGTGTGTTTGTGTGTTTGTGTGTTTGTGTGTTTGTGTGTGGTTGTGTGGTTGTGTGGTGTGTTTGTGTTGTGTGGTTGTGTGGTTGTGTGGTTGTGTGGTTGTGTGGTTGTGTGGTTGTGTGGTTGTGTGGTTGTGTGGTTGTGTGTTTGTGTGTTTGTGTGTTTGTGTGTTTGTGTGTTTGTGTGTTTGTGAGTTTGTGAGTTTTTGTGTGTTGTGTGTGTTTGTGTGTGTTTGTGTGTTTGTGTGTGTGTGTTTGTGTGTTTGTGTGTTTGTGTGTTTGTGTGTTTGTGTCTTTGCGTCTTTGTGTCTTTGTGTCTTTGTGTCTTTGTGTCTTTGTGTCTTTGTGTCGTTGTGTCTTTGTGTCTTTGTGTCTTTGTGTCTTTGTGTCTTTGTGTCTTTGTGTCTTTGTGTCTTTGTGTCTTTGTGTGTTTGTGTGTTTGTGTGGTTGTGTGGTTGTGTGGTTGTGTGGTTGTGTGGTTGTGTGTTTGTGTGTTTGTGTGTTTGTGCGTTTGTGCGTTTGTGTGTTTGTGTGGTTGTGTGTTTGTGTGTTTGTGTGTTTGTGTGTTTGTGTGTTTGTGTGTGTGTGTTTGGCTTGCGTTAGTTTGTTGATGATGAGATAGAATGTATCAGGAAGGCTACCCACCCTTGGACCACCCCATAGTGGACATCTCTGCTTGGATGACCACCCCCATGTAGAAAGTGCTTGGTAAGGCACGGACCTAGGCAAATTGCTAAGGAACTATACCGATCGCCTTCAGTAAGACTCCCCTACCCCATCCCCTTGGACCCCCCCTCCTTTTCCCCGCGGACGTCCGTCAACATAATTTTCAGGGTGTTGGAGGCCTGAAGGTTATACACCACTGGTATACGGGGTATATGCTGCCTTACAAGCTTATGATAGTGGTATAGAACTGGATTGCTATTAGGTAGGATCTTTAGACTCAAGCTTTTGGGAAACAGGTGGGTTCTCCATTGAACCCAGACAAAGCTATTCACTTTTTGCAGAGGGGTCGTTGCAGCAACCAAGAGAAGCAGCCATGCCTCCACAGGGCTCCGTAAAAGATACATCTTGCCCAATTGAAACATGGCTTTTTCCACCAAAATAAAGGGAAACCACCATTTACAAGTTGCAATGTTCAGGTGTATAGTGTAAGAATCCAAACCTCCAAAAGCCCATTGGAAAAGGTCGGTTCCTTTCGCTTCAGGCACCACGGGTCCATCGCCAGGTCGAAAACCGCCAAGGCAGGTTGGAGTGGTCAACCCAAGTCCGTGGACACCCAAAACCGATTCTCATTTGCTGTTTTAGCGGGTGGATGATTTCATAGAGGTTAAGGCCTAGACAAACCTAGAAAACACATATCCTATATAGCCTTCAAAGGTCCATTTGTTCTAGGCAGTTCGGTTCCTACTTGGTCTCAAGGCTTAGTCAAACCCATTTGCAGTGGACATGTGACTCACTTTGTTTCGATTGACTCTGTTATCTTCCATTTGCGGTTCAGATTGTGTTTTCCCCAATGGCTGGAAGCTATGGGCTCGATAGGCCCAAGTAAGCTTTGGGGGGAGTTCGGAGCTGCTTTCAGGGAGAGTTCTGGAGGGTTGCGCTTGGGCTGTTGGGGATACCTGGACTTTTTGTTCATCCACAGTGATGTCCACATTTTAAAATCTCAGAATGCATGAACCCCTGGTTGTATATGTTTTTCCGGGGTCAAAGTTGAGTTGCAAGGGTGCAACTGAACGGGAGTGCAGTTCAGCATCCCTTGCTTGCCACCCAATCTTGTCGTACTCTCTTGGGAAAGCCCAATTCCGGGGCTTACATGTCCACACCAACCAAATTGCAAGCAGGGCAGGGTAGATAAACACCAACCAAATTAAGTTTCACGAACACTTCCGTAGTGCTGGAGCTATTGCTCCTAATTCCAGCCTAGTATCTGACTCTGTTCCAATATGTAGTCTACCCGAAAATACAGCAGGGCGGCACGTCTTTTTGAGGGTGCCCCTGGTTTGGTGGAATTGACGGGAAACCCCAAGAAATGCAAAACAATTTTGGGGGATCCAACCTTATATATATACATGTATATACTCACTCTCTGTGTTTCTGGACTTTAAACTTTTGAAGGGAAGAGCATGTTGCTGGCAAGGAGAACGTTTGGACTTGTTTGTGGCTCCGGAAGTGAGACAGCATACATATGTATATGTTTTCTATATATTAAAAATAAATGTTTCATGTCTTCATACGTGTTTATACATATATATATATATATACATACTCACACCCCCCTATGATCTACATTTGCATGCCCACAGTGCTTTTTTAGGACAGGATAGGCATGTAGATCATGGGCGGGGGTGACCATATACATACACATTTTTATATACATAGGTTTGGAGGAGACCCTATAATATATATATATATATATTATGTATATTCACATAAAATTAGATGTTTCATGTAGACATACACATTATTTATATATATATATATATATATATGATTCCCCCCCCCCAAGATCTACATTTGCATGCTCACAGTTTTTATTAGGACAGGATAGAAATGTAGATCATGGGGGGTTGACCATACATATATGGCTGTGGCTCAAAAAAACTGGTACCAAACTGACACCCTGTGGAAACATGGACCAACACCTGCGTAACCCCTCCTGTTTAATGTTGAGCCACACCCATATATAGATATATATATATATACACACACAGGTTTGTAGATACCTTGCGTCGCCCTTCCCTTTTTCGCAGAGGCCCTCGAGCAGGCCGCGGAGAAGAAGGCCACCACGCGAGGGCGCCGCCGGGAGCCGCCCGGAGAAAAGCGGAAACGGGTTCTTTCCGTTTGGTGGCTCCCAGGCGTCCCTTTGGGTTTCTTGGGTTCTTGGGTTTTTAGGTTTGCAGCTTTTTTGCTTTTGAGTGTCCCTTAGCTTTTTTCTTACGGTTGATTCCTTGTCCATTCTTTTAAACCATGGTTCTTTTCAAAATCCGGCAGTTTCCGCTGGGTTTTGGAGGGTTTCCTGAAAAGAAGGATCCCTGGAAAGAAATGAGAAGCTTCCTCTAGCTTTTCAGCCTTTTAGTGTTTAGTGGTCCCACCAAAAGGTATTCACTTTTAGCGGGGCATCTGAGGACAGCGCAGGTTTGGTTTAGTTTTGTTTCGTTTCGTTCATTGCCAGCTGGGAATATAACATGCAAAAGCCAGGAAGAAGAAATCCTTATGGCCTGCTTTACTAGTTGTTTTTTCGTACTGGACATATTGTTACCGTTACCAATATCCACGGTAAGGGATCAGTTTCACTGGAAGTATTGTTCTCATTACTGCAGTCTATCACTATTGGAGACTGCTATTAGTTTATGATTCCTCTGGGCGCCTAGGCTGACCTCCGCCGAGCAGCTACGCCAGCTCTGCGACGCCATGCGTGCGCTGATCCAGATGCGGTCGTGGCATTTTGTGAAGGATGCCCTCCCTCCCGTTAGAGGGTTGATCAATAGGTCCGTGATACACGGGGTGACCATTAGAGAAACCACCAAAAGGATGACTCACTTCCTGAGTTCCTGGACTTTACCTTTTGGGTTTGGACCATTTGAATGATAGACAAAAAGTGTTGGCTTTTATTGGCGGCGAGGGTAACCGGGAAGCCACACCTAACCTCCAAACCACCACCAATTTAAGCCACCTTTTTGTTGAGGCAAGCATATTTTCTCCACATTGTCCCTACCAAGGGAAACTTACCCAGGAGCCAAGAAGGGTGATGCTTCAAGCCACCAACTAGAGGGAAGCTGACTTGTCACCTTTTTGCGAGACCCCTTTGCAACTCAGTTGTTCTCACTTCTCATTCCATGGTTGTGGAAAATGGGGGGGTTCGCGCCGTTTTCTGCACCAACCCCCTGAAAAAGATGCCGCTAAGTTAAAGCGATGGGAATCCCACTTCGGTATCACAGTGGTTTCCCATGTTGACGTCGGGGTTTGCCTTTCAAAACCTTTCGGGTTCAGGAAAAAAAAGGTGGACCCTTCCTAAAAGTGTCTTAAGACCCTTCCTTTTCACTCCCGATTGAGTTCCGTTCCGGACTTTCTGTTTGGGGCTTAACAACTTTGCGTTTTGTTTGGCTCTGGATAAGTGAGCCTGAAAAGGGGTCCCTCTGCTAGGTCCGTGCCCTTTTACCCTTGTTGGAGGGAGGGTTCCCCTACTACAGTAGACTACAGCAAAAAGTTGGTACCCTTCTTCTAACCTCTTTGCTGGAGGACCCAGACTCACCAGAGCCTTCAAATTAACCAATCGAGCTGACCTTTTGGTCCCTTTTGGTTGGGTCCTTCAAAGGGCAACTGGCTGTTTACATAAACAGACAGCCCACTTGGTGTATTTCCCCGAAACGGGGTGTCGGTGAAAGCTCTGGCTGGTCTGTGGCAGTCCCAGGCGGCTTGGAGAAGCGACGCTCGCGTACCGCTGCCTGGCGGGGTTTCGGGGGAGTCCTACTGGTCTCGCTCAAGCGAATCGACCGGATCGGGATCTGTGCTATTTGGCGGTGGGTAAAAACCAATGGTACCATTTTGGGGTAGGTGCACCACCCAGTTTAGTCTATTTTAGTGGGGATTGGGATGTTCACTGGGGGTACGGGATTTTGACCCATGGCCATTTGAAGACACACCCGGAGGGTAGTTTTGTCGCTTCGATTTGGCATGAGCCAAAATCGAAAGAAGGTTCGGGGATAATCCTTGCCATAAATGGGAGCAGCCGCCTCCCTCATTCCTGGGCAGACCATGTTAGTACCAGGTTTTGGTTCTGGGCTGTCCTCCTGTGGAAAGTACTTTACGTCAGTGTACATCATACCGTGGAAGAAGTGGGTATTTGGAGTATGTGGACTGCCAACGCAGGCTCCTTTGGGTTTGCGTAAAACCACACCCACAACAGTGCCAATAACAGTACCCCTTGCCGAGTTCCCGGTGTTTCGGTGCAGAAATGGAACCAAGTCTTCCAAAGGGGTCCTGCAAAGCTTCCCATGTTAATTCTGGGGGCGGGTAAGATATATGTTCCAAATGGAGTTAGCATAACTCACATAGCTGTTTCAGCCTCAAGCCTTCCCGCGGTGACAGCTGTTAGCTGTTCGGTAGGACCTGACCCCTCCTTGGTCATGGCCCCATCACCCGGACAGTTACAGATTTGGGGACAGGGGTTGATGTTGGCCTTTCTGGTCAACTTGTTCATGTTTTCCTTATCTATTGGAGATGTGAGAGAAGGGATTCTTGTGGAATCCCAGGTGTGGAATTGTTACTCTTTTCTTGGTCTGTTTTCGAAGATGTTCATGGTGATTTGGAATGGTGTTTATTTTTCTCCTGGAAAAGCTGCCTATTGGACCTCCCTCATCTGGAGCAGAGTGAGGACCACTAAGGACTGCAGATATGACCTGGTATTATTTGGTATTGATGATTATTTGTGGATCTTGGTTGGTATTCTTCTTCGTCAGCGGCCTATTGATGCGGTTATTGAGCACCTCATCGTCGGCGCCTTTGGTATTTTATACATTTCTGGATGTCGGTATCTTCGTGAAGGAGCAGCAATATTGGTGCGCTTATTGATGCTCATTCTACATGAAGCAGATGAGATACAGGCCGGGTGTCGTATTTGGGTACAGGGGAGGTGCAGACAGACCCCTGGGATTCCCTTTCGGCTCCCTTTATTTGTGATTATTTGGGCCTCATGTACCCTTGAAATGGATTGGTATCTTCGAGGGTACCTTCCCCACAATAGCTTTTTCTGAGCATGCTGTGGGCGTTTATATGGGGGGAGTCTGCTCTGTTTGGGTACCCATATGGCTCAATCAGTGTGAATTGGAGCATTAGCCATGGAAGCAGCCCGAGGGGCGTGAGCCTTCTGAGTGGCTGTCTGATTGCCGGTGTGGCGGTCACTATGCTCTTCATGGTGTGCGTGCAGGCGCTGCACAGGTTATGGGTGCTTCTTGTCCGAGCTTGCAATTTGGACAAGTTGGAGGAAGAGCAGCATGGCGAGGAGAGCATTGACCGTGACAGGTTTGGGAAGCACCTCGACGGCCCCACGGTGGCTCTCGGGACCGTCACTGGCAGGATTTTGTGCAATATGGGGAGAGGCAACTGCTTTTGGTATGCAATCAGTCAGCTTCGATTCGGGCACTCCAGGAGCTGGAGAAAGATCAAGTTTCAGGTCCTTAGCAACTCCACCCTGGAGATTCAGAAGAAGCTCAAAGCAGGAGGCAAATGGGCAGATGAGGACGCAATTCAAGCAGCATCGGATTTTTTGAAGCAGGAAATCTGGGTGGTCAACGTGGGCAATGGGTGCAATTATAAACACACCGGGCAGGTGGTGCGGTTCATGCCTACAGTTCAGGACATGCAGATCAAGCCGATGATGCTCAGGCTATTGAACAATCACTTTGAAGCTATTCGGATGGACAGTATTCGGCTTGAGGAGCGAGCAGTATCATGGGAAGCTTTTAAGCGGTCCCCTTTTGACTTATATGCTCATGACTCCGAGATGGATGCAAGTGAGGCCCGCACCGACTCTGATCTTCATGGAGGAGGAAGAGGACGCGGTAAAGGACGGGGCAGGGCGCCATTTACAGACATTCCGGGAGTTACATACGATATCGGTCGGTACCTTTCTTTTGTTCTTCGGCATGGAGCAGTCAAGGAGGGCATCTCGATGGACAACGAGGGCTATGTCAAGGTGGAGGATATTTTGGCTCGGAAGCCACATGCCTCGATTGACAGCGTGCTACAGGCAGTCAACAAGTGCGAGAAAGGAAGATTTGAGCTTCTTCAAGGGGAAGAAGGTTGGCTCATACGGGCCACCCAAGGCCACAACAAGGAGCTGGATCTCAGCAATGAAATGCATCGCCAGATTACAACGCCGGATGAGGTGGATCAGCCCACTCTGTTTCATGGCACGTATTTGGCGGCGTGGGGGTCCATTGGACGTCAGGGACTGCGATGTGGCCACAGGCAACACGTGCACTTTAGCACCACCTATTTTGTGAACCATGGACAATCAGGTATGCGACCGGGTTGTGATCTGGTGGTTGCAGTGAATGTCCAACAACTGCTTGACGCAGAGATGCCCTTGTACAAATCAACCAATGGGGTCCATTTGGTGGGCCAAGACATTCCACCAGAGCTGTTGTACAATGTATACTGGGCTCGTGGACCTCATGACTACAGGATGATTTGGCAATATGGATATTGTGTGCTACATTTGCAGATAGATCAGGATGAGATATTTGCAGCCAAATGTCGGAGGCTTGGTTTGGAGCCCTGGGACTCTTCACAGCCCCCAGATGATCATGGTGGAGGAAAAGAGGAAGTGAAAGAAGAGATGGAAGAAGTCCTCGTGGAAAACGAGGAACAGGAGAGCATAGAATATGAGGAGATGCATGGAGAAGAAGAGGTAGCTGATGGTGTGGATCAGGCCTCGGGCTCTGACGGTTATCGAGGCTTGGGAGAAGTGTGGAGTTTGTCGGACGCGCCAGCCTGGCAGCGAAGGATCCGATTCAAGTCACGACGATCCCGCTCCCCCGGGGGGAGGCCGCTTCATAATAGTCTTCGGACCCCGCTCCCGAGGAGGCGCCCTTTGCCGCGGTTGAGGAGAGATGTCAGCGGTGGAGCTAGACTTTGGGGTACGGAGTACACGGAGCAATGGCGCTGTTGCAGGCTTTATCTCTGTATCGTCTGCTCCCTGGCCTATTTCGGTGCAAGTGGCATGGACCTTACCAGTCATATTTGCGGAGGCGGTGGAGACGAGTATTCATACTATTCCACCGATGATGAAGCATTTTTGCAGAGCAGTCAGCATGATGAGCCCACGAAAAGAGAGCCGGCTTGGAGAAAAATCGGCAAGGGCCGCAGACGTATGAAGGTTCACTTCGCCGATATTCGGACTTTCACCACGGCCCCAAACTATGATCGACCTCGTGAAGGTACGCCACCCCCGGCTAAGACGAGTGGAGGTGAAGACCAGCCTCACAAGCGGAAGAGGCGCAAGCACAAGAAGATCGATCTTTGTTGAAGACACAGATCCCCGGCCCCCTCTTCCCCGCATAAGACGGGTTGAGGTGTGGATGAAGGACGAGCCTATGCTGGGCATCGATGGACGACCGGCCCTGCCTCGCAAAAGATCCTTACAGGGGGGTATGCTTGAACAGGAGGTACCATTAGATCTTATGAGACTGGGGCAGTATTTGCAGTATTTGCAGTTCACGCCGTTCAACGATGAAATTAGGGCCCTTTTTCCCCTGAACCGGTATCGAACCTATGCTCAAATTCTTGCAGAGAAAACCCGGGTTATCATGGCTCTTATCCAGATGTCTGAAGCACAAGTCCTGGGTCTCAAAACTGCTTGTCGAAAGCTCATGGGCAAAGCAGTTCAACAGACGAGGGCCAAGCAATTTCTCGATCAGGAAGATGAAAGGGATGTCAAAGATGCAGTTGCTTTAGCCACCATGCATGTTTCAGATAAGGATCAGCAAGCTCTGGTTAGCAAATTTGTGAGTTGGAAAATCAAACCTTTGCATTTTATTCCTGAAAGCTCACCTGCCACTATTGCTGGGTTGCTTGGAGTCGATGAGTTCACTGTTGAGAAGGTTAGATCCATTCTCCTGGACTATTTCAGTTTCCCCCCAGAATCCGACCCCGCGCTGGGATGGTATTTCGACGTGACGGGCGGACAGAGTGTCTACTTATGGGCGAACTCACTTCGGCTAATTGGCGGGGGTGGGGAGCATGACGACGAATCTGTTACTTCGGATTCCTCTGCCTTTCATATGCTCAGCAGATGTAGGGATGCTCAAACGGCGTTTGATGAAGCTATACAACTGCAAAGCACCCTGAGGAAACGGAATCGAAGACTGGCTAAACTTTTGCAGAAGCAACAAGAGGTCATTGAGGAGCAAAAGGTTACCATTTGCAATCTTAGGCAAGCCCTCTCGCAGGCTCTTCCATCTATTGAAACGAACCTGAAGAATGTTGAAGGGTCTCGACCCCCTCCACACGGCGAATCGGACATTTCCCCAACTATGCCTTTCTCAGTTGATGAAGGAACTCATGGGAACTTCGGGCCCGATCGATTCAGTGACAGGTCGAGCAGATTGGCTACTCAGCCCTATTGTATTACATCTGGACGATTGGAGATCGACAACGGATCTCGCCCTATTCCGGCAGTATTTTGCGATCCTATTGATGATGGGTCAGATTTGGAAGGTGGTATGAATGTTTCATTCTACATACAGATGCTGCAACTTCTATGTGGAACGATCTACTATGGACCCTGCGATACTCTTGTTATTTCACGTGGGGAGTTATTTGATTTGGGAAGTGGTGATCACATTTATCAGATGGTGCAGCACGACTCTTTTGCGACATGGAACACTCTATGCTATATGGCTGGTCAGATCTCTGGAGGAGGAGGAGCAGCAGAAGCC